TCGGCCATAAAGAAGCCCGTCTCTGCCGTAGGCCAATCACTTTCAAAGACAATTATATCAGAGCATGTTTGTTTGCATGTTCACCACAAGTACGTGTGGTTAACGCAAACTTGATTCCTTGCAAAATGTATCTATTTGGTGTTTGAACATCTTAACACCTATATTATTTCCGGAAAGGTTCAAACCTATTTTTTATTGTTCATAATTAGTTTCACTGTCATGCAATGAACACTACTCGTCTTGGTCGAAAGTGGAATTGCCGGGACATTGAAGGGAGAGAATATGTAAACAAGAGCACGTAGAAACACACGCCACAACTTACTGCAAACAGGAAAAACAAACGATCGTGCTTACATAAAAAAAATAATCGATGTTAAAACTTCCTTTCACAGGCGTGTACACATAACACCGCCTCAAAACCTAATGGTGCTTAAACAGTGGCGGTGATCCTAAAATGTACTCGGCCCGGCCATGTGAATGCGGAATGTCCACACCACCGACTCTGCGCTACGGAACGGTGAGATGTGTACCAATGCCGTAATGCTCATTTGAGCAGGGCACCACTTTTGGGCGTGTACGATGCTATCATTTGTGGCCAGGTGGCTTCTGAAAAATAAGTTAATAGCTCACAGTAGGCTTTACCTGGTAATATAAAAAATATATATCGTTTATCTTGACTTAAAGCTTTCGGGACTGCAGGAATTCATATTCTTTTGGTCTTTCGGTAAAGCCACGTAGATAGAAAAAACAAATATCCCGCTATTTTTATGTTTTCTTGTCTCAGCAGCCTCTCCCCTTATATTTTTTCACCTGATGACGACTGCTCGTGTTGATTTTTTTACAATTATTTTCTATCTACGTTGCTTTACTGAAAGACCCAAAGAATATATATATATTTTGATTTAAAGCTTTCGTGACTGCAGTAATTCATATTCTTAGTTTTTTTTCGGTAAAGTCACGTTGAAGAGAAACAACAAAATAACAAAATATATATAAAACAATAAAAAATTCTCACGACGTTTCGACCATAACTCAAACGGTCATCATCAGGTGTGTCGGTTTGCATAAATTTATTTTGAAAACGTCATATTTATTTATTTATTTTTATATATAAATAACGTTTGCGTCACGCGCAACGATTGGCTGTTTGCCAGGACTAGTCCATCTATTTTTTTTTTGAAAAGAGGAGGGGGGAGACGAAATTTGTTTTTATGTATGCTGTCTGAAAGCCACTGTAAGCGTGAACAATCAATCAAGAACTGAAATGATTTATCAAATCTTTCCAATGATTGCTAAGATAGAATCCATCTTCTCGGTTGAAATTGTCTCTGTGTTTGTATATGTGGATAGCCTCATGAACGAATCTCTCATGGAAGCCAGATGGCTTACAAAGAACCTCCGTCTTGGAAAAGTCAATGGCATGTGAGCCTACTGAATTAGAACAATGATCTGCTACGGCCGAGGTGTTGGTCCTACCGTGTTTAAGGTCTACTTTATGTTCACGAATGCGGTCCGAGATATGGCGTTTGGTTTCTCCAATGTAACTACTACCACAGAGGCAACTTAGTTTGTAGACACCAGGGTATTGTATGTCCGGAATCACATCTTTTACAGACAGAACCAGATCACGGATTTTATGTAATGTGTTGAAACGGACCTGGATCTTGTGTTTATTCAAGATTTTGGAGATCTTTTTTGTGATCCCAGCAATGTAGGGTAAAGTGATGGTTTTGAAAGGCTCCTCAAGAGGGTTCTTCTTCATGGTTTGAGTGATAGCTTTGCGGATTGTATAGTCGGAGTAACCATTAGCCCTAAGAGCTTGGTGTACGTGCTTGAGTTCACTGCTTATGTGTTCCTGGTCGGATATGCATTGGGCTCTATGATACAGAGTCTTGATGAGAGAATTCTTCTGTGATGGATGGTGGTGGGAATCCGGTTTCAGATAAGCATCCGTATGGGTAGCTTTCCTGTAGACAGAGTGGCTCATTGAACCATCAGGTCTCTTTTTAATTAGGACATCCAAAAAAGGTATCTTGCCATCTATTTCGACTTCCATGGTAAATCTGATGGCTGGGTGTATGGAATTGATGTGGTCGAAGAATTGGTCTAGAGCAGGCCGGCCATGTGGCCAGATGACAAAAGTGTCATCCACGTACCTCTTCCATAAGGTTGGGCGCAGAACATAAAGCAGACCTTAAACACGGTAGGACCAACACCTCGGCCGTAGCAGATCATTGTTCTAATTCAGTAGGCTCACATGCCATTGACTTTTCCAAGACGGAGGTTCTTTGTAAGCCATCTGGCTTCCATGAGAGATTCGTTCATGAGGCTATCCACATATACAAACACAGAGACAATTTCAACCGAGAAGATGGATTCTATCTTAGCAATCATTGGAAAGATTTGATAAATCATTTCAGTTCTTGATTGATTGTTCACGCTTACAGTGACTTTCAGACAGCATACATAAAAACAAATTTCGTCTCCCCCCTCCTCTTTTCAAAAAATAGATGGACTAGTCCTGGCAAACAGCCAATCGTTGCGCGTGACGCAAACGTTATTTTTATATATATAAATAAATAAATATGCCGTTTTCAAAATAAATTTATGCAAACCGACACACCTGATGATGACCGTTTGAGTTATGGTCGAAACGTCGTGAGAATTTTTTATTGTTTTATATATATATTTTGTTATTTTGTTGTTTCTCTTCAACGTGACTTTACCGAAAAAACTAAGAATATAATATATATAGTTTAGTTTTATTTTATACCTACGTGACTTTACGGAAATAACCAAAGAGTATTTATTCGTAAATATATATCTTTTTCTAAGTTGTGTGTTTACCTTTCCTATACGTGCCACTCCCTATCGTGTTTTTTTTTGTATTATTGTTGTCACGTTCTGACCCGCTGCCGCCTGGAACATCCGTTGAAAAGAGCTTCATAGCTCATCTGATTTGAGGTGGTTTCGGGCACCTTGTAAGGATTGCCCCCCCAATAGACTCCCCCTGGAACTCTACCGGGCAGCACCTCCACTGGGTGAAGGACCCTGGGCCGGCACAGGACACGCTGGGAACGCTTGGGAATTCCCCAGGAAGAGCCAACGTATGTAAGTAGTGTATAGTAGTGTAGTGTATAGTAGTGTATTGTGTAGTATAGTAGTGTAGTAGTGTATTGTGTAGTATAGTAGTGTATAGTGTAGTAGTGTATTGTGTAGTATAGTTCATAGTTCATTTATTTGGTATAGCCCTGTGAGCCATTCGGCTCTTGAATCGGGTGCAACCGCAACAAACAAAAAACATGAACAAGAAAACATCTTAACGTGATTTTGTGACTGTGCAAACAGAAAATCCAGGGAAAAAAATATCAAAAATATTCCTGAAATAGCACCGTACACCAACGCTGTGTGCAAAAATCCCAGTGGGATGCAAGTCAAAATAACAACAACAACCACAAGACAACTAAGATTAAGGCCATCAGTCAACTCCGTACTACAATAAACAAAAACATGGCCAAAACAAAAAAAAACTTTTCGAAATCACCAAAATAAAAGCCATAAATCCAATGTAACAGTGATCATAGGGACTGTGACCGAATTTTTTTACAATAAACTACATAAATTAATTATAACACCAAAATCTAGAGCCATATTTTAGGCTACTGAATAGCAGTGGCAGCTAGGGTTGTACAACTCCTCTAGAGCAGTTTTGAGTGAAGATCTCATAGGTAGTGATTCAAGTTGCAGTTTATTGGCAATAGCATTCCAGACCCTAGGGGCATCAATAGTAGTGTATAGTGTAGTAGTGTATTGTGTAGTATAGTAGTGTGTAGTGTATAGTAGTGTATAGTGTAGTATAGTAGTGTGTAGTGTAGTGTATAGTGTAGTAGTGTATTGTGTAGTATAGTAGTATGTAGTGTATAGCGTAGTATAGTAGTGTATAGTGTAGTAGTGTATTGTGTAGTATAGTAGTGTGTAGTGTAGTAGTGTATAGTAGTGTATAGTGTAGTAGTGTAGTATAGTAGTGCGTATTGTAGTAGTGTATAGTAGTGTATAGTGTAGTAGCGTATAGTGTAGTATAGTAGTGTATAGTAGTGTATAGCAGTGTATAGTGTAGTATAGTAGTGTATAGTGTAGTATAGTAGTGTAGTATAGTAGTGTAGTATAGTAGTGTATAGTAGTGTATAGTATAGTAGTGTATAGTGTAGTATAGTAGTGTATAGTGTAGTATAGTAGTGTATAGTGTAGTAGTGTATAGTAGTGTATAGTATAGTAGTGTATAGTGTAGTAGTGTATAGTAGTGTATAGTGTAGTAGTGTATCACCAGGACAAGCGGATTGAGAAACGAGCGGATTCCTCCAGGTATAAAATAAATATTCTCATTCTGATAAAGTCGGCCCAGTAAATGTGAATGTGGAATGTCCACAACACCAACGTGAGTTTACCGTGGACATTTAGACCCAAGCCGAAACATCTAACCTATAAAATAGAATGTTTAAAACATTTTTTTTTTAAATGATAGAATATAGTATTGTCATCAGTATGACATAAGTATACCAAGTTTGCAGTCGATACCACATTGGGAAGTTGGTAAAAACTGAGTTACAAGATTTGAGGATACAACAACAACAGAATAGAGTGAGTTTATAAAAAGCGTGTAATAATAATAACACGCGACACAGCAACACGCGGTTCCAGTGGTCGTGGCCAATGCAGTGTATGAAATACAAGGGGAGCGGGCGTTTCAAATTCCAGTCTGGATAAGCGTGGCGCACCCCCCCCCCAATCCCCCACACTGCCCTCTATTTAAACTGGGGGTTGGGATTTGTGGGGGTTGCGGGGGGGCGGGGGGGGCGGGTTGCGGGGGGGGTTGCGGGGGGCGGGTTGCGGGGGGGGGGGGGCCGGGGGGTTGCGGGGGGGGGCCGGGGGGTTGCGGGGGGGGGGGGCCGGGGGGTTGCGGCGGGGGGGCGGGGTGGGTTGCGGGGGGGGCGGGGTTGTACGCATGCGCAGTGCGGACAGGATGCGGCACCGGTCTGGACCGGCTTGAGCAGCGAGAAGTTATCCGTGGCGCGTCGCTGTCGTCGAATCCTCGCCTCCTCGTCGTCCTCCTCCTCCTCGTCGTCGTCAGTTCGCCTCGACCCCCTCTCGCCACCTTTCTTTATTTTAGCCCGGGAAGGAGCAGCATCGGGGGCTGTTGGGTAGTGGCGGTGGCTTCGGCGGCTGTTAATTGTCCACCCCACCGGCTGTGCGGAAGAGGAGGAGTGGTGGTGGACAAGTGGCGGGGCGAGCGAGAAGGGTGAGCGTGTGGGGGGAGAGCCGTGTTGTTGCTGCTGGCGAACACTCACTCGTACACACCCACAGAGATTATCGCGGACACGTAGAAGAGACGTACGCGTACAGAGAGATACGCTGGAGCGACGTGCACAGAGATTCATAACACTCCCATCGATGTACACGGAGATGGGCAACACTAGAGCGATGTGCGCACACAGAGATACATAATACTCGAGAGATGTACACGCGTGCGTCTTATAAATCGTAATTATTTTTTGCTGCATTCAGTGTGTACACATGTACACGTAGACACCCAAGGGTATGAACACACAGAGGTACTTACAATAAATGTACACGTAGATACCATGGGGGGCAACACGTACACACAGAGAGAGAGACATATATAGTACACATGCATACAAAGAGATGCAGTACACACACAGAGATATACACAAACTAGATGCACGCAGAGATAGTCACGTAGACACACAATGATGTATACACCAGAGAGACGTGAAGACACAGAGATATACACCACACACACACAGCTATAAAGACAGACACCCCCCGTGTAGCCTGTAACACACTGTAGGGACAAGTGCTGTTAGCGAGTATCTAACTTATAAAGGCCGACGCGATTACACGAGAGGGGGGTGGGTGGCCAGCACCACGCCCGGCCGTCTTTGTCTCCCCAGTGACGATGTTTTTTCCATACCGCACCGGGTACACATGTATTGCATCAGGACATGCTGTGCAGTATATAGATACGAGATAAGACACTGAGATGTACACAAAAGCGAAGTACTGTACTCAAGACAAACTGACCTTCAAGTTTAATCGTTGTCAATCCATTAACTTATTCCATAAATAAGCAAAATTTCAAAAAAAAAACAATAGAGAATTGATATTCTTAGTTTTTTCGGTAAAGTCACGTTGAAGAGAAACAACAAAATAATAAAATATATATAAAACAATAAAAATTATTTTGTTGTTTCTCTTCAACGTGACTTTACCGAAAAAAACTAAGAATATGAATTACTGCAGTCACGAAAGCTTTAAATCAAAATTTAATAGAGAATTGCTTAAAAAGCAACGCCTCAGGATGTCGACAATTTGCCTGCCGTTGCCCAATATGCTGAAACTGTCAACAGAAATACGCACACCCACTTACAACCACAGTAACACACATACGTAGAGCTCTACAAAGCTTCGTGTGTACACGGCGATATACACACATACACGGAGTAATTTACACGTACTAACACATTTAACTTTACACATTTCATATGCAGTCGTCTTAGTAATACTCGGCAACACTCGGTACAAAGTGAGTTAACAAAAACAATCGTGTCCAGGAGCAAAGTTGTCACGTAGCCCCGTCGAGTAGAGATTAATGTTTCATTCCAGTACTCCTGGCTGCCTTGCCACATTTGAAAGATCCTTTGATAGAATTGGTATCCCATCTGAAGTACGTTTGATTCGCATACTTGGTATGTGTCATTAAAAAAAGATGTATAATTTATATGAAGCCTATAAATGCACTTTTTTTTTAATAGGGTGTCTCGTTATGCATCGTTCACACTGGAGCGTTTATGTAAAAAAAATACACCCTATATGAACTTCCATATTTTTTAAACTGCCATATAGTTTATACTGTTACAAACGACACTATAAACAGCTTTTTTTAAAATTCACAATGTGGAATATGTTTTAATATTGTAGGCACTGTGCCATATCATGGAGCATGTCATAGATTAAAAAAAATGTATTTATAAAGTAAATTCACAGTTTTTGTGTTGCGTGCGGGTTGAATGTTTAAAAATTAAGCTTTGCCCCCCCCCTCCCCAATGTTGGTCGATGGCCACTTTTTAAAAAACCGGTTTGTGACCGCTGACAGACCCCGGGCCAGAGAGAGAGAGAGATGGGGGGCCGTCAAGTCTAAAAATTGCCCGTCGCTTCTCAACTAAATGTGCACGTATTTGTTCCAGATGGGGATTTGTTGACGTGTCGATACTCGTGAGGCCATCCATCGGTGGTGGGGCCAGTGATGGGCGAGGCAAGGTGAGAGGGGCATTAAAGGAGGCAAAACCCTCCTCGTCCTCCAGTCGAGCGTGGAGGTGGCACAGAAGAGCGAGCAGGACAAGTGCTGAGCTGTCGGTGGGTTGGGAGGGTGAGTGTCAAACTTGTTTCTTCGCAACGCAACAAAGCTAAGAGTTGACGAGAGAGCATCGTTTAAAAGTAAATTTCAATTCAGTTTAGCCAAGCCACGTTTCATTACAACTGGTGAGAGATTCTAGCAGGGATTTAGTTTGATTTCCATAATTTCACTTTTGCACAATTCCTTCGGGAATTGCAATTCTGGTAGCTATTCGCATTTTAAATGACTGTATCTACTAATTTAAATGTAATTCTCACAGATTGTCATGGAAGGTATGGTGTTGCCAGAATGCCACGCTAAAGATGTAATGGCGTCATGCCAGTTATGCGAACTAGATTATTTAAGACGTTTCTCTCGATGTTTGATAAAACGTGGAGCAGAGCTAAAGCATCTTAAACAGGGGTTAAAAGGTCCCAATCGCTACTGGCAGAAGGACCTTCAGTAGAAGGAGCTGCAGAAAATCCCTCGAAAGTGGGTATTTTGGCTTGCACACTGGCACAACGTTTTGGCATAGATATATTTTTCAATACATACAGATTTTTGAAATGTGCAGATAATGACGGAGTTTAAATCTTTATTTCTTTAATATGATAGCAGGGTAGGCGATTATTTACAATTGCAGTTTTGCTCGAGTCAATAAGTGCAAGTTTAAAAAACGAGTTCATCAAAGTTGTAAATTATGCTTTTTTTCAGTTTGAATTCGCAGCATTCGTGAAAGCAAAGCAACATGGTCATTGTTCTTTAACGTGTTTGCATGTATAGAATGCCCTTTTGAACTAATGTAGTGTGTTGTTGAAGGCGAGGGTGTCAGGTTTGAGTTTCAACAGAAACCTTAAAATACATATCGAACAATTAGCCCGTGTGTTTCACATCTTTATTAGACATGCATAATAAACCTAGAGAGTACGTACCTATACTCCTGAACATTCAGAATTGTATTTAACACCTGTAGTTAGGAAAGCTCTACAAAAATTAAGCTTGTATTCCAAAGGCATTATTTTAACCGATGTAGGTGACTGTGTTTTTCTCCGGCAGAGTAGGGGGCACAGCTGGTGCATCAGCCGGTCATCTCGGCTAGTCAACTCACGGCACATGGGTCTGTCCCGTGACCTCCTGCTTGTGCGCGTTAACACTTCACTTGGCCTTAACGTGCACATAGCCTGGCACAAGCGCCGTGATGACATCACCGCCACTTAGTGGCGAATAGCGGTTGTTATATTTTCCAGGTTCTCCGGTTTTCTCCCATGGATAAAAAAACCCCAAACAGTATAATTTGTTTTGATTTAAAGCTTCTACGTGACTTTACCGAAAGAACCAAGAATATATATAGTATAATTTGTATTGGCCAAACATCCCAATGGAAAAAAAATGACCTGCAAATTACTCAATTTGGATTACGCATAGCAGGATCGCCCCCTACTGTGAAATCTTGGCAGGACCCTTCTAAAGAATATTTGATACTTGGTTGAGGTTTTCCTGTATAAACAAAGTGTAACAATAATATATTAATAAGTCACACTTATATTCTTAGTTTTTTCGGTAAAGTCACGTTGAAGAGAAACAACAAAATAACAAAATATATATAAAACATCACCTGATGATGACCGTTTGAGTTATGGTCGAAACGTCGTGAGAATTTTTTTTTATTGTTTTATATATATTTTGTTATTTTGTTGTTTCTCTTCAACGTGACTTTACCGAAAAAACTAAGAATATGAATTACTGCAGTCACGAAAGCTTTAAATCAAAATTTAAGTCACACTTACTTTAGACTTAATATAAAATTAAGTGTTCATCAAAAAATATCTTTGTGTTAGTACTGCTTTGTGTGGAAGTTAACAGGATATTTCTGAAAACATCACCTTTGAAATCTGTATAAACAGCAAGAGAAAACCTTTATCCAAAGCTGTTAATGCAGAGTGATATGGAACAATTTGGTTAATGGAAACAATTAACCTTGAGCTAGATCTTTAACTGACCAGGTGTCTCAAAAGGAAATGGTAGAGGGGTGGCTCACAATTAGGTTTGCGAGTTTCAAATTCCGGTTGGTGAGTTTGACTCGCCCCATCACTACGCCACGGTCGATAAAATCAATACTGCAAGTGACATTGTGGTTTGCATGGAGAGTCGCCCCCACCGTACAAGTGCGGAATTATTAACCCTGACGAATGTGAGTTGAGCACTGCCTTCAATGCTTATATGAGTAAGAAATTACTGACTACAGTATTTTTTTGTATTGCTGTTGCCCGCTTTGAAAGTGTCACTTTTTAAAATATCTAATCAACTGTTTTCTTTCTCCCCCTTTTAAAATCTATTTTAGACAAAGTAAACCGGTTTCACGCCAGTCTACCTCTTGAAAGAAAATGGTGCCGTCTCAGGTCACATTCCTCGTCAGGGCAGATACTCTTCCAGGTAATTTGGTTGGCTGATCTCTGAATGTATGCCGCATGGATGAACATAGTAATGGGTATTTATTACAAGTTTAAATGCTTATTGTATTTTAACTTTAATAAGTCATGGAAATAATGTGATGTGTATAACCCTTTGTACATTCACTCCTGGATGAAGGGCTCTATGTTTCACGTCGTTCATTGGCTCTTGTTTAACTATACTTCACCCTGGTCAGTGCTGAAACACTTATATCAAATACCCGTTTACCACAATGTTGGATTTCCTTTAAAAAAATATTGAACAGGATTGTATATTTTTTGTTATATTTTGAACAGGGGAAGCTGTGGGGTTGTGTGGGGACAGCCAAGACTTGGGCAGCTGGAAATCTGAGAACTCTGTAACTTTGCATCAAGAATTACCAGACAGGTGAATATTATTTCGTCTCATATGAAGTTGACATGTTTTACATTGATTCCCTTAAGTCTTACAATTTAGCTAATTACAATGTACTTTTTAGTAAATTATTGCAAGGATAAAAACCCTTTATGCATTTCAATTTTTGATACGCTTAACGGCATACTATGGAAAAGCAATTATGTCTTAAACAAACAGTGGCACGATTTAGAATCCATTTACATGTGTTGCTGGTGTTTAACTATCTTTGTTTGGCCTTTTTGCACTTATGCAGTAACATCTGGACGGTGACTGTACCCCTGCTCTCTGTGAAAACTGTACATTTTCGCTTCTTCAAAGGCTGCTTCTACGAGTCAAAGGTGCAATACCACCATACTTTAGATTTTAAAGCAAAGTCATTTACAAATGCTTACAGATGTTTCTAAACAAGGCAGTTGCATCATTCGCATAGAAAGATGTATTACGACTTCCATTAGCAGTGACTCGAAGCCAGTCTGAATAATAAAACTTTAATTCAATGATAACATTTCACAGTTGACTTCTCATTTTCCGACAGACTAAAGATGGAAGTAAACTGGTCACGGTTAACAAATGGGAGACCCACCTCCATCCCAGGGAGTTTACACCAATTGGTAAGAAACTTGAGACCGGTGTTGATTTAATATTGATGTTGTATTCATCGTAGTAATGTCTTACCCATTTTCTCAAATTAAGCCTGTCATTTATGGACAAGTTTGCAAAGAGGTATTTCATTCATTTCAGAAGTAACAGTGCGATCTGTTATCTACAGGTGCCAATTGCAGTGTTGATGGAGGACATTTTGGCATTGTCAGTAAGTATCACGTTGCGAGCATCCTGAGATATGCAACAGAACCTTAATTAGCATTGGGTGAACTTTTTTTCTGTAACATTTGTCAAAATCACAAGAGAACATATGTATACCTCGGGGATATGTCTATTGTAACTGATACATTTAATTGACAGTTCGACAACTAGGGATGCATTGCATTGGAGGCATTGTATGGTTGGCCAATTTATTTTCATAACTATCGAGTCAAATTATTTAAATTTGAAGATAACACTTAGATGGGGAGGGTGTGCCCTTGTCAAAGCAACATTCCACTTCATGGACAGAATTAGAATAACATTGAGTACAAATGCATGTAATGTATTCTTATGACAATCGCCATTGAGTTGCAGCCTCTGTGCGTGATTAAATTGTATTAAGTTGTCATCTTTTTCTATGTACAGATGGAGTGACATCTGTTGACATCGGTTGGTTGACCTGCCAAACAGAGCTCCGGTTACGTCTGCACTTTTCTAACAAGCCGCCTGTTCTCATAAATAAGAAGAAATTCAAGAACTCACGTTTTAGGTAACAACGTGGGCCCACATTCACCGCTTTGTTTGGAGAGGTTCATGCTTCGAATCCTGCAGGCTGCCCCTGGTTATTACTGCGGATGTATTAACTATAAAATGCGTGCCGTCTGCTTTAGTCGATATTAAAGATCTCCAGACGTCATGAAAAATGAGCGGGTCATTTTCTGCTGTAATAACAATGGCATGGCCAAAATGTGCAAATGTATTATAACAACGTGATTTGAACATGTTCCTAGTATATTCCTGTACATCGGTCTGTCTTTATCGTTTCAAGTGCACGTGTGTTAGGGTTTCATACAGTTTTGGTTTAAAATTTTAAAACGCGTGGACTAGAATTTCAAATTGTAATAAATATTTTTTGTTACTCCTTTCGGCAGAGTGAAGCTGACTATTGAAGGCACAGAGGAAGATGACGATTCAGAAAATTACACGGAGGCAGAATGTACCCAGACCGACAACCCCAAGGTGCCACTATCCCTTGAGATCTCTCTCATCAGTCAGGGCCAGTACAAGTCACGGCACTCCCAGCCCGAGTGTGGATATGCCCTGGAGCCATCATGCTGGATGGAGTACATGGTCCATACAGTGGACCCAGGGAACCTGGAGCTTACCTTTGACTTTTTTGAGGTATGGCTGGATGTGCGCATGTGTTTTGCATTACACTTGGGGCCTGGTCATGCCGCGGTTAGCATGCTGCGCGACAAAGCTGGCGACCTGAGTTTGATTTCTGCTCATGGCCAACACCAGTGACAATTATCTGAACCAGTCCTCGGCCTCCCCTAGATCGAATCGTCCTGATATTAGTAATTGGTGCGGTGTGTAAATATCACTACTGGGGAGACCAAGGTGGTCGGGCATGGTGCTGGCCACCCACCCCCTCGTGTACTGTACCAGCCTTCATAAGTGCTTGTGAACAGCACTTTCCCCAAAAGACTGTTAAGGAGGATCTTTGTTGTTTTGGGCTTGTGCAAATAAACATTGCTTTTATTTGTATAAAGTGAGAAAAAAATGACAAAATGTGCAATATTAGTCATGACTGGATGCCATTATATCTAACTCTGGATTGAACAAACCAGTGTTTCGTGATGTGTATGTTGCCTGAATGTCTTGTGCCAAACTAGTACACGCACGGTTTGCTTTGTTTATGTGTTTGGTATTTTTGTGCAAGGCTCGAGAGAGTTTGCTTTTGATAACAAACCAAATCTCTTTTGTCAACAGGAGGATCTGAGTGAGAGGGTGGTACAGAGCGATGCCTTGCCAGGCCTGGTGGGCACGGCCTGCCTACTTTCATCGACTCTCATGGAAACGAGCAAAAGCAATGGCGTCATTAGTCTGCCCATCATGGGACGAAACACGCGGCAGACAATCGGCAAAGTGAACGGTCAGCACTGCATTCCGCATGAAGCTTTTTACTTGAAGTGTTAACATTTTATGTGTAGGTACCTTGTTTAATTTTTGTTAATAAAAAAAAGCTCTTTGAAATAGTTTGAGCCAAATTATTACCCGTGTGGAATATCATAGCCTGTCTTCAAATGTAATAGTCGCATATATACCTATTTAGTTCTTTAACATGGATTATCTCCCATTAATGGAATTTATTGCCCAGAGGCGTAATGTTAAGCTGCATAAATGAAGTCTGGTTTTGACATAGTGAATGATAATTTAAGTTAAAATTCACGTGTATTTTTTCCATATTGATGAACCAAACAACTTTGTTCTGTAACTGTCATTGACTTTTCTCTTCTGACTCGTCATTTCAGTTGACTACTTCATCATCCACCCAGCCCAAGACCTGCATTGTGATATGAAGGCCTCATTCTCCAAGTATTGGAAGCCACGCCAGACCCTCGACATCGGTCATAGGGGTGCTGGCATATCATACTTCACAGAGAAGTTAGTGAATTTTTCATGAATTCAACATGGCCTTGCACTCTCAACTTGTGCCTTAATTTTACTTGATGCTGAATTGTTTCCAAAAAGCACAACAGCCTAATAATGGAAGTGTTTCTTTTGTCAAGCCCACAGGTTGGATGTTCAGTTGACCCATGCATTAATTGTAGAATGAAATGCATTCATTTTCAAAAATACACTTTTTACAAGTGTAGGTTTTATTGCAATGCATTTGAAAAGCAATATACATTGATAATTGAATCAACGTTTTATAAGCTACAGTATTGTTGATACAAAGTCTAAGAAAATATGTTTAATTAAGATGCTTAGAACATTATTTATATTTTAAGCTTATTTTGGTGTATTTAAATTTGGAATGTAGTTTCCATTACAATTCAGATTTCTTCATAAAATTAGGGTTTTTGTTTAATGTATATTTATGTTCTTAGGCTTGCTAAAGTTCGAGAAAACACCATCACCTCATTTAAGAATGCTGCAAGCCATGTAAGTGGATGAATATCGCATTGGTTTCGGTAACATTTTCCTTCCACATGTAGATTAACTTAGTGTAGAGCATTCACAATCAGTTTTCTTTACATTTACAGCATGCTATATTTTTTGTAATCCTGGATTCTTGCTAATATGCTCACACTTTCAATATTTTATTCTAAATGCTCAATTATCAACGTGAATTCAGGAAATGTCCTTAATTGCAAAATAATCAATGTCTTCATAATATTTCCACATTCATTGAGGGTGTGAATTTAAAGAATATTTTAATTCTAAAATGAATTGTTTTTAATTGTTGCAAATCCTTAAACTTTGTAGTTTGTGTAAGGCATATGTTAAAGCTCTAGTTGTGTGATGTTAGTGTTTGAGCTTTGTGAGCTTTGCCATACGTATTTAGATTTTTTTTTACAGTTTACACTTTAAAACAAAATTATTGCATTGTCCTTGACCAATGCTGAAGATAAGCTCGCATGGCACTGCACTTTAACCTTCTCTTGTTGCCCTGTGTAATCATGTAATCATGTACGGCCATGTTATGGATCAACTACTGAATGAGAACCTCTCCACACCGTGCAGATCATGGACATTATTTAACCATTCTTGACCACACTGATCAGTGCAGGTTGGTGGTGGCAGGGAGCATAGACTTTTAGCATAGTACAGCACAACAGCAGATATTACTGCACTGCCCTCTGCTAACACCATCGCCCAAAATCAACCTCTGACATCCGCTATATGTATGGTGGTCATCCAATCCAAACACCGTCCAGGTCTATGACCAAATCATCCGGGATGCATCCCAATCTCGTCCGATCCAGGAAGCTGAGAGCTAAGCTAGGAGTATGAGTGTAGATATTTAAAGCGTAATATGCAGTTGACAATGTTAACATATAAATGAGCAACATTCCACATGTTGATGTTGAAGTGATGCATCAACCTTCCAAATTATGTGCCAGGTGTTGATAGTTCCAGGTTACGTGGCAAGCTTATGGTCTTGTTATTTCAGGGAGCTGCTTATGTAGAGCTGGACGTTCATCTCTCCAAAGATCTTGTTCCAGTAGTATATCATGATTTTACCTGCTGTATCTCCATGAAAAAGGTAAGGTTATATCGGAGTATGTAATTGATTGCTTAGAGCTTGAAGCATGCCTTTTGGAATGAAGGTTTTAGTGTGGGTCAACTCTTGATTATCTGGTATAATAGGGTTGAGGATTTGGAGGTGGTAATCTGGATTAAACAGAAACGCAGATAAGTTTGTTTTCTTTAACCAGGTGACAACACAAGAGACCAACTTAGACTCATTTGCAAGAGTGACCTGGATAACCAAATACAGTGATTGCTAAGTATAATCCAAAAGCAGTAATTTCCGTGTAATTTTTTTTCAATGGACCCTGACGCCAGCACACAATGACCTACTCTTGCAAATGACGTCAGGCAATCATTACGACCCATTGTAAAGCAGAAACAAGACGGGCGCATGTTATTGTTATCAAACCTGCAGTAATAACTGAGGGCCGCTGAACAACAGCAATTAGAGAACATGCCCATGATAAATTATGGCAAAAATTGCATACATTTGGCTGTTTTAAACCATTTATTGCTCACGTATGTATGATGGGGGGTGAAGAGTTACAATGTGGCAGAATGTCTTCTGTTTTTAGCTCTGCATGAAGTAATGGGCTTAATCACGATCACATTTGAGGTCAGAGGGACTGCCCTCAACAATGATGAGCAGTTAATTATTAAACCAGTGTGTGTAGATATATTTTAATAACCTTTTTTGAAAGCACAGTTAATTTATTCACCCACGGATAATCAAGAGTTAACTGTACTTAAAGTCTAACACCTATTTCATTATGGAAGCAACTAATTTAGTTTCATATGCATGCATACTAATAGCACTTTTGATGGTGATACTATGCAAGTTTAAAATTCAAGTTTATTGTGTTGAGCAAGGTAAGAATTGAAGAGATTAGGGTAGTTTCATTTGCAAGAGTTACTCGGGTCACTAAAATGACAAAAGCAAACTAAAAAACTACAGCAATAAAGCGAGTGGAAGTCATAACAAAAGCAACTGCCAAATGAGAAATCTAAAATATTCCACAAACATAATTTAGTGTTACATAATAAAGAAAAAAGTTGGTTCGTGCAGATTATTTCTAGACTTGGTCATATAACCCCCGACGAATATTTTAACCTTCATCGATGCTTTGATACCAATATAATACAAAAAATTCCCTAAATTTGGTTTCAAACTCCATTGTCTTGGTTTAAAAAAAACATAAAGATGTTGCCCACGTGGTTTGTAGATGATTGTGACCCTGCTTGACATGGCAGTCGGTGACTCGATAGCTGAATGTTCATTTGAAATATCCACATCATTTGTTTGCCATATGTACATTACCCTTACACGTGTATTACCAAAGGAAACAAATGTCTTGTAAACCAGGTACGCTTCAGAAAGTTACATTTAATAAACTGTCTTGTGCAGAGTATATTGCAGTTGCTCTGTAACCTATTTAATTTTGACCTGTCCCATGAGTAGGGATAGCATAATTTATTGATTCGTGAATTGTTATTGATTCTCAACGTCGCAAAACATGCATTGAATTGAGTGTATAAGAAAATATGCATTTCCATGTGTTTATACTTAATTGGTTGGCATCATTCCTGCAGCCACTGGAGGTGCTGCCATTCACCGCAGTGTTAAAAAAATACACGACGTCTTGAATTGGGACGCTGAATCGTGATAATTCATTCCACCACTACCCATGAGAACTCTACTTTCAGAGATGTCCTGGTGGGCCTGTTAGCCACACGAGTCAATGGCAGTCACAAACATTACATCTAAACGGAACATAATAGGGTCTTCGTAAAACCCTAAGCCTCTACATTTCCTTTTTTGTAGAGGCACATGGATGATCAATCTGAGCTGTTGGAGATCCCTGTGAGGGAGCTGACTTACCAACAACTGCAAATGCTTAAGGTAAAGGCGATACGTCACTTTTATAGCACATGCACACCCGGTTATGAACTGCTGGTTCTACATCACTCTAAATACGTGAGGAGAAGGAGCTTTAGTGTGATTGTACACGGACATCGTAACAAACGTTTGGAAAACAGTATAGATTGTGAGAAGATGACATCGTAAAGAGCTGGGTAAGAAACCCTAAGCAAATGCACGGAACATTGATATCTTTGCAGAGGTTTACGGTGAAGGTGTAGTTCTCCCAATTTCTCTCAGCACTTGCTTGGTGGGAGGGCCTCCACTAGAGGGAGGTCTAGAGAGCTTCTCCCTACTCTTCCACTCTGGCCAGACCTCTTCAAAGAGATGGGAATAGCCATTATTTTTTAACCCCTCCAAAACGCGACCTGCTGCTGATGGAATAACTGTGGTGTACCCATGTATACAGCTGGTTGGACAAATTAATGTGATTATGTGTAGAAGAGCATGAGTGAAAATTGGTCATAGTTTGCCTTAGGGACAGCTTCTTAAAGGGTTGTGAATTTAAATTCAAATAGGGACGACGGGAGGCGATCATGGAGCCTGGTGCATTGGCATTAAGTAGGCAAAATATCGTGGAATCTTTACATCAAAAACTATAGATTTAAAAGTCTTCTGCTACGTACGGTGCGAAAGAAGTTCCACATACACATGGTTTGATGTGACGAAGAATTAAATTGAGGTGATAAGCCGTGGCCTATTAAAACAAACATTGACTTAAAGCTTTCGTGACTGCAGGAATTCATGTTGTTTGGGTCTTTTGGTAACGCTACGTAGATAGATAAAATAATTAAAAAAATATAAAAAATAACAATATCACGACGTTTTGATCGCAACACAAGCGATCGTCAACAGGTGAGAAATATCGCGGGAGAGCTGCGATATTTCTATCTACGTGGCTTTACCGAAAGACCATAAGAATACGAATAAAAACAAACATTGTTTAATAGCATTTTGACTGTTAAAGACTGAATAAAAAATATTGTTAATTTTTTTAAGTCGCTTAAGTTCGTCAGAGCCTTCCTTGGTTTTCACAGATTACATTGATGGGTTGCTATGTACTAACAACTTTTAGATTAGTTAGCAATATGATATAAATAGCATCGACTTTGTTAAGCATTTAATTTTCTCTTTGAAAACTTTGTTGGATCAATTTTGTACATATAAGACATGATTCCCATATTGGCCAAGTATCATTTGTGAGCTTCATTTTCTACCAAGATTGGAATTAGCCCCAAACAGAGTAAACCTATTAATTGTATAAGTTTCCATTTTAAAAGATGTTACATCGTCATATTCCAGACACGCAAAAAAAAGGCTTATAAAAATATTACCATTAAAAATAATAGTCACTCTTGTTTATGATAGCATAAGCACTCGGGTATGAACCTTGGCAAATTATCTGGCATAGAGTTTGCCATTTAATTTGATTGTAAGTGCTTTTAAGTTTTGCTATGCTCTTGACTCCCTTCCTATATCCATGAAGCTGGCTCACGCTCATGCAAAAAAAGTCGACCTTGACCACGGTATGTCAGCCTCTGTCGCCGTTCATTAAGGCACACTCATAACCTTTGAACTGTTAAAGTTTATTTTACATGAATATAAAAAAAAATAACAACCTACTTTGTGTTTTCTAATCCAACTGCACGTGGTGTTCGTATTGACCGTTGGGTCAATTAAGCTGTTTATTTTACACCACTCAACAGTATCATAAATTCACTTGCTGAATTAATGGTAAAGTAATACAATTAATTGTAGCAATTAATATAGACGTAGAAAAATGCCTGGGTGTGTCTCTTAATGTATAGTTTCTGTTCGCTTGAATGTGGCCATGCAAAATTACATTCACAATTAATTTATGTTGTACGATTGTGCTGACAATGTACCATGGCTGTCATTGCAGATTCCAGTCTCAATGATTCTCACGACGTCCCAGAAACTCAGTCGTTCCCGACACTAGACCAGGTGATTTCTTCAATTCAAACAATGCAAAGATTAAGTCATGGTGTTTTTGACCTTCTATGGTGTATGCTCTCTGCTCTGTTTCCTCTTAGTCGTTTTTGATCATTGGATGGTTTGTTTTTAAGGTCTTTGAAGGCGTTCCTGAGCATGTTGGCTTTGACATTGAAATAAAATGGCCCTTGCAGCAGAAGGTGAGACGTTTTACTTGAGAAATCTAGAAACCCAGAGTACAATAATACATGCATTACATTTAAGATTAGTTTGTCAAAAACGCATTTGGTTAAATGCCTGACAATTAAAACATTATTTTCACCTTTAAATACAATCTTTTACAAAATTCGGAAACCATCCTTTAGGAGTAATGTTTATGCACGTTTGTTCTCTTTTTTTAGAATGGAGTGTGGGAAGGGAATCTCTCGTCTTACTTCGACATGAACCAATTTGTTGATATCATCCTGACCTGCGTACAGCAACAAGCCAAAACACGACGCATCATATACTCCTCATTCGATGCCAATATCTGTGCCATGTAAGTCTCCAGTTGCTTCGCCTGGCCACCGCTCCGGTTTGCATTTCTTCTGCGGCACCCAGTGTGTCGTGATGATCACCCACACTTGTTTGGTCATGATCGTGGATAGTATCGCATGACACATTGCTTCCACCCACATCACCTTGGGGTGGGTCTGTATTTGGGCATCCTGAGCTAAGCCTGCGAGCAGGATTAGTCAACACCTGTCCAAGAGGGAGTCACTGAAATAAAATGATTGATGCAGCAGGAGTTGCCTTTGTCCTTGGAGAATGTAGAAGTGTTGCAGCATTGTAAAATCTTTAGGTCACTTCCAAAGAGAGTCTTTCCTTTGTTCTGTCTGCATTGGGGATTATATGTAATGTCTTGGATTCTCTGTAAAGCATACGATGTTCAAACTAAACCTTTTTAACCATTTTTTATTTAAATAAGGGTGTTGTTTACAGCATACATTTCAGTGTGATTGTGGAACTTTGTCTATCTGGATAAACCAATCAGGTTGTGAGGAATTTTGGTTTACATGGCAAAAAACCATGTCAAGCAAACAGAATTTGTTCACAATCTTTATTGTCCCTTACTACACCCCCACCTCCCTGTGCTCAGTCACGTTTCTGCCCCTTTTCCCTCCTGGCTCCCCCTCCATTGGAATAAACTCCCGCTTGACATCAACACGGGCAACTTCACTCACCATCTTTCGTTCCTCCCTTAAGACTCCTTTTCTTTTAATAGCGTATCCCTCTACTGCTTGCTGTCTGCATCCTTACAACCTTAAGCATCTTCCGCCTTCCTATACTTGCCACTCCCTTTCCCTATCATCACCCTTCCTTTTTTCCCTTCACCTCCCTGAAACTCATACCACATCCCTCTTCCCCATCAGCCAATACTAATGTACGTTTTATTTTTGTAAAGTACTTTGACACAGGCACGATATAAAATCCTAGATGAGATAAACTAAAATTATGAAGTATGGAACATTGTATATACAGATCAGAAGAAAAAATATACATATACAACACTTGTTCTACCATTGCCTTGGGATCTAAAAGCAAAATGTTGCATTGATTTCTGAATGTTTGCCTTACTTAAGACGTATCTTGCTGTTTTTTTCTATGATTGTTTTTAATGGGTTTTTCTTATTACCAGGGTCCGCTTGAAGCAGAATAAATACCCGGTACTCTTCCTAACTCAGGGAGTGACGGAGGTTTACCCAGAATTCATGGACATCCGCACTCGCTCCACCCAAATCGCCATTCACTTTGCTCAAGCCGAAAATATCCTGGTAAGAGATGGCTCACGGCCAATATGATTGGGCAAATATCTGAACCTGTTCTTGGGCTTCCCCTCGACCTACTTGGCCTCAAATGAGTGCAATGTGTAAGCATTGGCAGGCGGTCAGTTGTGGTGCTCGCAACCCATCCCGTCGTGTTCTTTACTGGCCTTCACAGGTGTCCGTAAATAGCACTTGCCCCAGCAGTCTGTTAAAGGCTATACAGAGGATCTATTCCATTTTAAGACAAGTAAACACTTACTATTTGTGGGTCTTATAATCGCTGTTGCGTATTTTGTGATGCAGAATTGCTTTTCAGCATTATATTTATACTGGAGGAATCTGAGCTATAAAGCTATTTTTTTTTACAGATGTTCAGTCCTTTTTAACAGATCTCCACAGATCCAGACATTTTGTTGCAGCGCTGTGTTTAAATTCACGGGGTTGTATTTTAAGCACGAGAGACTACCCGACCAAAGAGGCGAACTGTGTTGTAGTGAGGCATGGGAGCGTTGTGGATCGTGAGCGAGCGGAAGTAGCCAACGCGACGCTACCCTCCCTCTCAGCGCCTCCCGTCTGCCACACCGTTTACAGCGAGTGTTTTCCTTCACAAATTCTTTTTTTACAATTATGACCTTTATACAGTAGATCGTTGATTTATCCAGCGGCTTCGGGGGGGAGGGGGGGGCGGGAGGAGGTGCCGGATAATCACATTATTTTAAATGCCTTATTTTTGCACATTCTTGAAAGACATTGTTTTTTTTGGTGTTGTGTTTTAAATTTGTTTACTATATGAAATTGGCGTAATTAAACATACAAATACACAACAAATACCTTATTATTAAAAGTTACTGCATTTACTGTAACCGTACTTACTACTCGACTCTGGAATACTGCATGGGATGAAGTACGCACAATGCTCTTGTTTCAACAGCTTGTGTTCGACGATCGCAGCCTTTTAGATCGGTGCTCCGGCGAAAGCTGAATTACATGCGCTTTTTGCCGGATCGCACTGGATATATTCTGTTTTTATGACTTGTTATTAGTCATGAAAAATGTAAAAACGTGCAGTATTTTCATTAAGTTGTATGTAGTGTATAATCTACTGTATATAATATTTGACACAAATAATGACATAATAATGCACGTGGTGTCGATCGTGGGACTAGTTACAGCCTTTGGAGCATTTTTTTCGGTTTTTGGCGGATCGGCCCAGGACTTCCGGATGATGTCGGAAGATGGATAATTGCGCAACGGACAATCGATGATCACCTGTAATAGCCAATTTGCTCTGAAGCCTACTGTCTTATTCTGATGCACATTCTTATGAATCGTTTGCGTTCACAGGGAATTAGCGCTCACACGGAGGACCTTCTGCGAAACCCAACCTACATTGTGGAAGCCAAGTCCAAGGGGCTGGTGATCTTTTGCTGGGGCAACGACACCAACGTGTCCGAAAATCGACACCGTCTCAAGGAGCTGGGCATGGACGGCCTCATTTATGATCGGTACGAACCCCGAGGCGTTTTGTGTGTGTGTGTGTGTAGGATGACGCTTTATTATTATGGTGCCCGTTCTAAACCGTAGCAGCGACGTATTTGGACTTAGAGTGTAGAATTTGGAAGAAAAAAACCGTGTGCGTAACAGAGGGCTCATCTTGTCTCTAGGAAATTGATTGGGTGTTTGTTGTGCCAATCAGATGCATGAGGGTGGTACAAAATGTTCTAAAGCCTGATGTAGAGGTAAACACTACACACTATTGATGTCAGAGTCACTCATAGTCTGAGTTCTCAAAAGAGCCAGGGCACAATATTCTCTATTTCCCTTCGTCTATTGTAGATAAACGATGATAAGTGCAGAAATGTGAAAATCCAGCATCATGATGTAATTGACCTTTTGACTGCAGAACACTAAAGCAAATTCAGTTTGTGAATACCTTGTTGAAAGTGTATAGGGCAGCGCGCCTATATTTGCAACGCGCCAAAAGGTCTGCGGCAGATTGTCTTTGTGGCAGACTCTCTTGAAGATACGAGCTGGCAGAATCTTTTGGGTATGAGCAAGGTGTGTGTGTGTTGGATCCCCAGAGTGCTGACATGGGACAGCACGAGCGGGCCTCAGGTGATTTTTCATATCGATCATGACCCGATATAAGGCAGACCTGGACAGGTTTTGAGGCACTTTATTATCAGTGATGAGACCTGGAATTTACTGTGCTTGGCCCGGCGTCCAATCAGCAGTCCATGCGGTGAACACATCCAACTTGTCCAACACCCAACCGAGAGTTCTCTGCAGGCAAAATCAAGTACCTGATTTTTATGGATGCTAAAGGTGTGGTACTAAATTGACGTTATGCCACACGAGGAGATGATCACAGGTTGATTTCGTGCAGACTTGCTCAATTGACTAAATCGTAGAGGGGCACTGGAAATGAGAGCTTGCACCCTTGTCTCTGAACGACAATGTCCCAGCAAAGGCTCAGATAACTTGGTACAACCTTTGTATGCCAAGTCTATGCATAAATAATGTGTAATTTTCCTTTATTGAACTAATGGGATTACAAATATGTACTAAATCTTGACTTAAAGCTTTCGTGACTGCAGGAATTCATATTCTTGGGTCTTTCGGTAAAGTCGCGATACGCGAAGCAATCCATTTTGTGACCCAATAAAGTGTAGATGTTTTGCGTGTAATTTTACTTGTTATGAACGCGCTTTCAAAAAAACAGCAGAAAAACCCAGAATGCTAGCGTCCAAGATCTACCGCTCCACCATTGGTCACCACACTTAGCCAGGTCGCTTTTCACTCCGCTTCAAGTCTCCTCTACGCTTTACTTTTCAATAGCATGCCTTCACTCCCCCTTGCATATTTCTCTCCTATTGTTCGGTCCCTCCCTTTTCTACGCTCTTCAGACATTTGGTACACTATCGGTGGGTCGTACATGCAGGTTTTTGTTGCTGAAACACATGGTGTATAGAATGAATGTAATTTAAGGTTGCCGTTGAATGCCAGGAAAAGTTACGTACGTGGCCGATGTATTAGGCTGATGATGGAATAGCAGCCAAGGTGGAGGGAACGCATCACAAAGAGACGGTTCACATACAGGAGCGAATGGGATTGTAGCATCGTAAGTCTGAGGAATGGCAAAGACGCAGAGGCATTCTTCCAGCAGTAGATGGACCGTGAATGATCGTGATCGTCATTATTAACACGTGCGCTATTGCATCCAAGGTTACATTTGATATTGCAAAGCAATGTGTGCAACACGTGTCATCTTAGTTTTGGTTGTGTTCAAAATGTGACAAACTTGGCCAAGAAAAACATGCGAATGAACACTTGCCGACACGTTGTTACAGTGGCGTCCGCTGGAACTGTGTGATGCTTATTGTGTGATGCTTATACTCTGTCTTGGACAGAATTTACGATTCGAAACCAGAGGAGGCGAACACGTTCCAGGTTGAAGAGCTGAATAAAGTCACCGAGGGGGTGCCGTTGGACGTCATCATCCACACGAACGGAGAGGACGCTCATCAGATCTCTTAAATACATGCCCGCATACTATCCTGCACTCCAAACTTTGGTATTGATTACGCAATGAGATCTCTTTAGAACCTTTCACTGCTCGAATCCTTATGCAGATTGTGATGTTTTGCATGTGCATATACGCGTAACTAATACTTTCACTTGGCTGTATTGTGCATTGCATCCTGCTCATATGAACTTCATTCCAATTCCATAATCGGCTGGTCCAAATTTGTTACTTTCGCAGTGTGTTAACTTTTAAAAGCAAATGGATGCGTTGTGATGCTATGTATGATTTGGCTTCTTTACTTGGTGCTATTTAGAAATATCTGCAATAATGTCAAATGTTGTTTGCAAATGCGGCCATCTCGATCTGCTTTGGCACGAGCATTTGCTGGAAGGTTTAAAACATAAAACTTAATACCTGGCTCGATTTTGGCATGCAAACGTCCTTGGCATGCGACCTCTTCGGCTGTCTTAACTGCAAAATGTATAACATCTGTAATATTGAAGTCGTGCAAAGACAATGCATAATGATGTATATTTATTTTTCTTTTTTATATATTCACTAACGTACGTTTACGCTCAACTCTATTGGATACGTTCATATTCAGGTCATTTTATACGTTGTGGTCTCTTGTTGATTATAATTTGCGTTTATTGTTGCAACCGAGGTAGCACGAGTTCATTGTTGCCTCGGACAAAGCAGTTCGATTACTATCTGTTCACTGTAATTGTGCATGCGCATTGGGAAATCAGGACACAATGATGTATTGAGAACATACTTGACCTAGATAACTGAATGCACGTTTTGCTGATTCGTATGTCTTGTGAGTGCTTCGTAGCTCTAAAATGTAAGCAACTATTTTTTTTGTCTTATAAATGTTTAGTAGCATCACACCTTTTTGTTGCGAGTTTGGAACTTAGAAATGATTGGTGCACATGCCTTTTTTCAGTATTTTATTGCACTTGTGCTGTGAGGTACTTTAAAAAGACAACATCAATGCAGTGCTGATAACTATGTTTTATGCGATAAAAACTTTACGTGATAAAGTGCAATGATGTCCTTTTATTTTCATTATTGTGTGGTGTGGGCAGATAAAAAAAAATTATAATTTGTTTTGCTTGTTTGAAAGCATGTTGCGTTTATTGTTAAGACTTAATTTGCACATTGCAAAACCAATTGGCGGCATATACAATTATAGAACGAAATACATTTAGTATACAGTACGATATTACATTTTTATATAAAAAGTGTTATTTGGGTCTTTTGCTTGAACGTTTTCTGGGTTCAATTACTTTTTACATTTAATGTCAGCAATATTAATGAAAGGGCATCGGCTGCTTTTGTAAACATGTTCCTGACCATTTGTTATTTAAATGAAAGCATTAAAAACAATTATTATACTCTAGTCCTTTGGGGTGAGTGGAGGTGCAATGGTTAGTGCACTGCACTTTGAACCCGGTGACCTGAGTTCGATTCCCGGCCATGGCTAATATCAGCAGTGAGTGACAAGTTAACTTGCCCTGGGCCCCCTCCATCCGCACTGATCATCATGGTGAAGTATGGTCAAAGAACCCCCATGACTAAAACACATGGGGGGTGGTCTTTAGAGGGTATTGACGAAGGACTTTTAAAGTATTATTTTGTATTAATATGCTTGAGAATTTATCTGGGAATGAGATAATGTGATGTTGTATGTGTGTTAAATGTACAGGGACTTCTGATTTGTGTTTGCTGTTGCTTTCCGACGGCTGAACACGTTTACTTTTGGAGTGTGAAACATTTGGATTTATTCAGTTAACAATAGCTATGTCTTTTCAAAATGTATCATTAGATTGCGTCATGTACATTTTCACACTTTTGTTTGTGAACTTTCTTTTAAATGTACATTATTAAATAACAATCTTGCATTATCCTACCTCAAATAGTACATTATGGTTTTTTTAGCTTGGTTGTCAGTTTATGCGTTTGCAAGTGTGAACATAATGTGTACAGTATGCATAATAATACAGTATAAGCCATGTTTCATTACATAGGATTTAAAAATTAACGAATTGGAATTCATGCGCGAAATTAGCACTCTTGATATTTTTACCAATTTATCGTAGTTCTTCCACTCTGGGTTTAACCACTCACGAGGCAGTTTGAGAATGCTGGGTTTGTAGATTGCACACGCCACTGGGAAAGGATGCCAGTTGAAAATGTTTCATGTTATGTGTCATTTTAAAATCTAAATATGTGCCTATTACAATATAGATGTTCACGTGCCTGTATTCTAAATAAAGATTCATAAATGCATCAAGATGTGATATCTGTAGTTGCATTTTTTTTATTAATGTGGTATGTAGTAAATATATAAATGTGTCGTTAAAACCCGACACCACCCGACACAGCCAACTAGTAAGGGTTGTCACGTAAATAGAACATATCAATTCGTCACGAGTACAGCACACCGGTGTGTTGGAGAGCCAAGCCACAACACGCCAGTAATTTACAACTAGCTTCATCAGGCGACAGCCAGATTTGTGGAGAAGTCTTACTGTTTCGTTCCTTCTATAGAGGCGTAAATGTGTTGACCACGTAGCTGCGCTCTTGCACAATGGGGGGGGGGGGGATTACTGAGGCAACGTACATTGTGCATTATGCGAGCCCTTTGAACTTGTCCTTCCTGTCTATTGTGTTTATTAAAATAGCCCTACCAACGGTAATCCCTATTGAAGTACTCTGCCCTTTGTAGGCATGCAATTAAATAATGTATTATTTGATGATTCGCACTAAGGCCGTAGCTATCCGAATGGTTCAAGTTATTTTGATTTCTTTAAATTTCGATAGTTTAATTAGTCTTGGCCAGTAGTAGCTAGTTTTGCACAACTTCAACATCAAAATCAATTGAGCGTCCTTGCTGGCACGCGTGTTCTGCTACTACTGCTGACAGTTGCATTTGGGAGAATTTAAGATTTCTCTGATGTTGTTTTCGTCTCGTGCTGATCATTCGTCCTGCTTGCCCAACATAGCATTTACCACACATGCAGTTAATCCTGTACACACCTTCTGCTGATAGCTTCAGGAATACATCTTTTGTACCAGATATTAATTTCTGTATTTAATGTACCGTGCCAAATCTGACTCGGATGTTTTGTTTTTTTCCAAACATCTGGCTAGTTTATCAGTTACTCCTGCAATGTGCGGTATAATTGATCGTTTTAATAACTTGGGCAGTTTCATTGCTCTTGTTATTTGATTTGGTTTTGGTATTCAATGCCCTGTTGATTTGTGCATTATTGTAACCATTCATTTGCAGCGCTTCTTTAACATCTTGAATTTCACTTCTCAGACTGTCACCATCTGACACTTTCTTAGCTCGATGAATGAGCGTCTTGATAAGAGCAGATTTCTGTGCGGGGTGATGGCGTGACTGCATTCAGATAGGCGTCGGTGCGTTTTCTTTCGGTCAACACTTATGTACCATTTCTACCCCATGGTAGAGTTCTGTCAGCTTTCACTTCCATGGTGAACTGGATGGATGGCTTTTGCGAATTGAGATGATTTAGAAATGCGTTCAGTGTTTCTTTGCCGTGTGACCAGACCACAAATGTGTCATCCACATATCTAAACCAAGCAGATGGTTTTAGTGTGCTTGAAGCTATTGCTTTTGTTTCAAAATCTTCCGTGTACAAATTCGCTATCACAGGAGACAAAGGAGAGCCCATTGCTGCTCCTTTTCTTTATAGAAGTCACCTTGCCACAGGAAGTAAATGTTCTTTCGACAGTGTTCAGCTCTCTTCTTTGGTTCTTTCGGTAAAGTCACGTAGAATGAGAATAAAGTAATAAATTGATAAAATAAAATAACACAATAATATTCTCACGACGTTTCGGCCACAACACAAGCGGCCTTCATCAGGTGAAGGGACGAGACTGTCTGGTAGGACAGCGCTGTCTTTCCAGACAGTCTCGTCCCTTCACCTGATGAAGGCCGCTTGTGTTGTGGCCGAAACGTCGTGAGAATATTATTGTGTTCTTTTATTTTATCAATTTATTATTTTATTCTCATTCTACGTGACTTTACCGAAAGAACCAAAGAAGATGAATCATTGCAGTCATGAAAGCTTTAAATCGAAAGTGTTCAGCTCGTCTTGGGATATCTTTGGCTAAACCTTTGTTCGTTACCAGAGTGTCGAGTAATTGAACTGACTCGTTGACCGGAACCCTCGTGAACAGAGAGGTCACATCAAAACTTACGAGAATATCAGCATTAAGCTTCATATCTTTAATTATATTTACGAGATGTTCACAGAGTTTTTAATGAAGAAGAGGTCCTACCGATGTTGGCCTGTATTTGTTTCGTTACGTATTGTGCTAATTTGTACGTGGCAGAGCCAATTGTACTTCTCCACAAATCTGGCTGTCGCCTGATGAAGCTGGTTGTAATTACTGGAAAAAACGTACTCCGATTGTAAATGTTGTGGCTTGGCTCTTCAACACACAACCGGTGTGCTGTACTAGTGACGAATTGGCCACGTTCTGTTTACGTGACAACCCTTACTAGTTGGCTGTGTCGGGTGGTGGCAGGTTTTAACGACACATTTATATATTTACGTGATCTAACCCAAAAACCTCTTGTGGATGATATTGGTCGCGAAAGCCTACGTGTTAACCTGGTATTTGGTACTTAGGATTCTAAATCATTGCAACAGTGTCTTAAAGATTCCATAACATTTTGACAGCAATGGTGTCGATATGTACGGACTATTCTCAAGGATGTAACAGTAATACAATTTATAATGCGCGCAGTGTTGCGGGCCGAAGACGCAATTCTGCGGCGCAGAGCACGGTGTGTCTGATCGCGTCGCGCGGTTCCAGGGAGACTCGGTGGTTAAATGTCGAGTTGCAGAAGATGCGCCTTCTGGATGGCTTATGTTCAATTAAGGTTGTACATTTATACATGTAAAAATATACGTGGATTAAATGTACAGTACTAAATATTGATTTGAAGCTTTCGTGACTGCAGGAATCCATACTCTTTGGTTCTTTCGGTAAAGTCACGTAGGTAGAAAAATAAAACAAAATAAAAAATAATATACCGCGACGTTTCTATCGCAACGCAAGCGGTCGTTTTCGGGCGGAAAAAAATCATCCAACAGTGGAACTGCTGAACCGGCGAGAGAGCTGCTACCTACGTGACTTTAACGAAAGAACCAAAAAATACTAAATATATCCCATAGACTACCAGAAAAGATTACTTATATTGACATGTTATCAATCTGATCTCTTGTAAATGTTAATTAATCACTAATGGGAATTCTGTATTTACAAGAAGCACTTGGCGATAGAAAAAAAATGCTTTGTCTATGAATTAGCGTTATGTAACCATGTGATTGCCCATTGTGATAGACCCACGTCTCTTTGCAAGTGAAAGCTTGCTAACCATAATTGGGGGAAATGTGTTTTAAATTTTTTTGTTTGGGTCATTATATATTTTTTATTTTGTGCTACATTTTTTGGTGAACTTCAAATAGCACTCGTGGATAAGAATGGCACGAATACTCTTTGGTTCTATTCGGTAAAGTCACGTAGGTAAAAAATAAAATAACAAAAATCACGACGTTTCAGCCACAACACAAGTGGCCTTCATCAGGTGAAGGGACCGTGCTGTCATGAGGACAGCGTTGGAGTGAAAACAGCCAAGCACAGGTCGCGTCCTTTAAGCTGTGTGGGAGGAAGCAAAACGCTTGACAAAGGAATTAGCATAAAAATGAGCACGATGTACGTAGGAGGAGGTGGATGGGCCATGATGGACCAGGGGCGGGTGGGGACTATGACGGATCAGCAGGGGGGGGGGGAGTAGAGTGAGTGAGTGGAGTGAGTGAGTAGAGTGAGTGAGTGGAGTGAGTGAGTGAGTGGAGAGAAATAAGCAGCTGTGAAAGTCTGGGATACCACCACTTGAAAATTTTTTACTGTACCATTGAAAATTAGTTTAATGTTTGGTTTGATTTAGAACGTCTTTCCAATGATTGCTTAATTTGAAACCATCCTCGGTTGAAATTGTGTCTGTGTTTGTAAATCTGAATTGCCTCGTGGACAAATCTCTGATAAAAACCCGTAGGTTTGCAGAGAACCTTGGTATCGGAGAAAACTATATCGTGATCACCCACAGCGTTGTAACAGTGGTCAGCTACGGCAGAAGAATTCGTTCTGCCGTGTTTCAAATCTGATTTGTGCTCGCGAATTCGGTTAGAGACATGTCACTTCGTCTCCCCGATATAGCAATCACCACAAGTGCAGCTCAATTTGTAAACCCCGGGGTACTGTAAGTCAGGAACGACATCCTTCACGGATGGGATCAGGTCACGTTTTTTGTGTACTGTATTGAACCGGACCAGGATCTTGTGTTTGTTTAGAATTTTGGAGATCTTTTTAGTAACGCCTGCTATATATGGTAGTGTGATGGTTTTGACCGGAGTATCAAGTGGTTGTTTCTGTATGGAGGGAAAAACCGCTTGGCGGATGGTACGGTCACAGTATCCGTTTCTCTTGAGGGCCAGGTGTACATGTTTTAATTCACTGGTCAGGTGGTGTTGGTCTGAAATGCAATGTGCCCTGTGGTATAACGTTTTGATGAGAGAATTATTTTGAGCTAGGTGGTGGTGGGAATCAGGTTTCAAGTAGGAATCTGTGTGGGTGGGTTTCCTGTAGACAGAATGCCCCAGTGAGCCATCAGGTCTCCTCTCAAACAGAACATCCAAGAATGGTAGCTTGCCATCTTTCTCCACTTCCATGGTGAATTTGATGGCGGGATGTCTAGAATTGATGTGGTGTAGGAAAAGGTTCAAAGCTGGGAGGCCATGTGGCCAAATGACGAAAGTATCATCCACATATCTCTTCCACAGGGAAGGTCTGAGGGTGGAAGTCTGGATGGCGTCTGATTCAAATTTCTCCATGAAAACATTGGCTATCACTGGTGATAAGGGAGAACCCATGGGGGTACCCTCATTTTGTTTGTAGAAGGTGCCATTCCAAGTAAAGTAGGTATTGGTGAGGCAGTGTCTAATTAGCACAGGTGTATCGGGGTCTAGTCCATGTGTAGTGTTGTAAGGACGAGCAGACTTCTTTAGGAGGCACACTTTATTGTATTATTTCCTTATTCAACGCTTAACACACACAGAGGGATATTCGGTCCCCTCACCCGATACCCTAGGGAGGTACAGCCTCCGTACCTGGCGGGACTCACACGTCTACCGCTAACCTCCTTGATACCTAAGGAGGTACAACCTCCGGACTTGGCGGGACTCACACGTCTACCGC